CCCCCGGGAAGCGGGCCTAAGCCAGCAGGTGTGTCATCCCCTGAAAGGGTCCCAGACTGCAAGAAGGTCCCCAGACTGCAAGAGAGCACAAGGCCGGGCTGACAAACAAAATTTTTCTGCAGTGGGCCTTGCAGTGGGCCTCTTGTGTGTGTGTGTGTGAGTGTGTATGTGTGTGTATATATATATATATCTGGAAAAAAGTTAATAAGATAAACTTAGATAGCTTAACAAAAAAAAGAAAAATAAATTACTCATTCTTGAAAGAGTTAGGTAATGAAAGAATAAGGCTTGGATTGTCAAGTAGGAGCATGTGTACTTTTAAAGTCTGTACACATAAGTTGCTGAGGGGTAGTAAGCATCTCAGGATAAATTAGTACATCTTGAAGCATCAAATTTGCTGAAAGATTTCAGTGGGAAAAAAAGTTCTACCCTTTTTGTCACAAGTAAGGGCAAGCAAAATTAGTAAAATGTGATCTTGATCTTTTATTTATTACTAGCTGTACCCGGCCACGCGTTGCTGTGGCTCAGTCTGGTTAAATGGAAAGAAAGAAAAGAGAAAGCACACGTTCCTAATATGTTTAATTTCACAATGCTTGTGGGCATACAATATTTTTTGTTGTTCCATTGTCTGTGCAGATATAGAGATTGCGTAAAATATTTAGTATAGCGTGTGTTGCTTTTATGTCCAACAGATGGCGCTGTTTTTCAAAAAGGCATGTTTTTACCTGTCACAGTTGTGACATCTATATAATAGGTATATAAAAACATGCAAGTATTCGAATGCAGCATACTTTCAAAATTTCAAAGCAATCGGTGAAGAACTTTCAGAGATTTAAGATTTTGAAAAATGAACATTTACATTTTTATTTATATAGATGTCAGGCAATCATTTTATTTTTTTAGCCTTGAAAGCAAGACAAGAGAAAACTTCAGGTGGAGAGCATAGTGGGAAAATGTTTTTTGTTGTTACTGTGGGCCCCTTTGGTGGTATTGATGCCACCCAATGTCAGTGAAAATTCTGGGTTTTTTTATATTTTAATTAAAAAAAAACCCATATAGTACTAGCTTTATAATAGGTACTGTTTAAGTATTTTGCAAATGTTAATTCATGCTAACTTTATGAAATAATTGATTTAATTCAGTGTGATTTTTCCAACATGATAGATATTGCAACAGGTTTAAATGTTTACCGGAAGAAATTTTGGGGTTCATTTTTCTTGGTGGTTATTAAAAACCTCATTCTTGCAAGAAACAAACAAGGATAAATTATTCAGATAATGTAAAAGTTTAAAAAATTTTAAGATAAGTCAGTTTTCAAAAGTTTTTCTGGCTTTGGACAGGTTGCTTTGGCGTAGGTCCTGACAATATGAATTCAAGTTTACTCCTCTGTGGAAACATTTGGAGAGCACTGTTTAAGGCTTAAGGTTTTACTCTAATGTGAAGACTGTAATAATAAAATCTTTAGGTATCAGAATTGTAAAGCTATAATAAAGGGAAAAGCTTCAGGTTGATATTTTGGGACAGTGGCTCCATGCGGCCCCTTGGAATCATAACGCATAAGTGGCTGGTGATTTGGGGAACTGAAAATCCCTAGAGAAATTGGAAAGAGACTGAGTAGGGAGCTGGAAGGAGGGGAGGTCTGGGGAGAGGGTGAAATCAGAAACAGTATCTTTTTTTCTTTAGGTTCCTCAGGAGAATTGTATTATAAGTTCTTTAAAGTTCTACAGCTTTATTCCTGCAAAACTGCCTGTAAATATACATTCTTTATTCCCATTGGTTTTCATTTTAATCGTGATGTTTTATTTTTCTGATTGCTCTTCAATTGATATGGGATTTTTTTATTTTTAGAGTGATGAAAATATTCTGAAATTAGGTAGTGGCTATGGTCATGCAACTTTTGTGAATATACAAATAATTACTTATTCAAAATGGTGAACTTTTGGTACGTGAATTATAGCTCAATAAAGAATTTGTGCTCTATGATAAAATACGTAAATATAAGTCCTCTATCCTATATAATAAAAGGCTTATATGCAAATCAACCGAACGGGGGGACCGATGGGTCGCTATGACGCACATTGACCACCAAGGGCAGACACTCAATTCAGGAGCTGCCCCCTGGTGGTCAGTGCACTCCCACAGGGGGAGGGCCTCTCAGCCAGAAGCTGGGCTCAGGGCTGGCGAGTGCAGCGGTGGTGGTGGGAGCCTCTCCCACCTCTGCGGCAGCGCTAAGGATGCCTGACTGACGCCTAGGGCCCACTCCCCTTGGCTTTCAGTTGGACATCCCCCAAGAGCTCCTGGACCATGAGAGGGTGCAGGCCTGGCTGAGGGACTGCCCCCCCCCCCCCAGGGGCTCGAACTTCGTGCACAGAGCCTATAGTATATATATAAAAGCGTTACCAACTGTCCAACTGTTCGACTGTCCGACCGGTAGCTATGACACTCAATACCACCAGGGGTAGACTCTCTGAATGTTAGCTATGATGCGCACTGACCACCAGGAGGCAGACGCTCAACACAGGAGCTGCCAAGCAACAGCAACTTTGCAGAGTGCCCTCCCATACTCCGGGACCCCTCGGGGGATGTCGGACTGTCAGTTTCGGCTCGATCCCTGCAGGCCAGGCTGAGGGGACCCCATTCTACTGGAGGAACCCTGCTCACTCAGCAGATGCCCTCTGAGCCTCGGCGCTGCCCCAGTTGCGGCTGGCGGGGGGAGGAACCAATAGGAAGTTGGCTCCAGGGCGTGTCTGGGCCCGTCTAGCCCAGTCCCCACCCCACCGGGCCATCTTCTAAATTACCTTTCAGTATGCATGAATGCATTTCACCGGCCTCCAGGTAAAACTCTTAAAATACCTAGGAAGAAAATTAACAGGGCACCAAAATCTCTCAGACATCTCTGCGTAGGTAATATTGTTTACT